GCACTACATTCTGCTTTAGCAATAAAGTATGTCAAGGTATTTGATATTTCAAGGTATTTGACCCAGAAGACACAAGGCACAGCCTTGGGCAACAGACATTTCCTGATCCACCATCTGTAGGCAGCAATGTTTGTGTAGGGGATGTTGGACCAGATGACCTGTTTTTTTTATCTTCCCACTACTTTGTGATTCTTTCTTTGAAGCACAATTTTCCAACTTGAGAAAGCACAATGTTGTCTCCTGATGTGGGTAGACTGGACATTTTCATTTGGTTAGGAACATTCTTACATCCATGTTTTCTCCACTTCTTTTTTTTTCTCTCCTTCCAAGGATTTAGAAGTTCCTGCATGGAAAACTAACCAGCAAAACAAAAGTATTAGAGCTGTAGTGAGTTAAACAGTTGAGTTAAACCAATTATGTCCCCTACATAGTCTCACTCTTTGTAAATCTGCATCCTTCTTTTCACATTCTAGTGATGTTTTAAAAGGCCAGCCTAAGTAATCTTCCATTATCTTTGTCTAAGACCCCACTTCTGGTACTTACACATATTCTATGTCAAACAGTAAGTGCAGGTCTTCGAGCGGGGATTGGAGACTCAGAGGTGCCTGTGGAAGTTTGGAAGGGGAGCGTTTTTTCCCGAGTTTCTCTCTCCTTTTTCTTGCCTATTTACCATGCAGACTTATAGGTATCTTCAGCACAGTCCTCAGGAGAAAGAGTTACAGAATCACAGAATGGTCAGGGTTGGAAGGGACCTCTGGAGATCGTCTAGTCCAACCCCCCTGACAGAGTAGGGTCGCCTACAGCAGGGTGCACAGGAGGGCATCCAGATGGGTTTTGAATGTCTCCAGAGTGGGAGACTCCACAACCTCTCTGGGCAACCTGTTCCAGTGCTCCACTATCCTCAAAGAAGTTCCTCCTCATGTTAAGATGGAACTTCCTATGTTCAAGCTTGTACCCATTACCTCTTATCCTATCACTGGGCACCAATGAAAAATGCCTGTTCCCATCCCCCTGGCACCCTCCCTTTAAGTATTTGTAAGCATTAATAAGATCCCACCTCAATCTTCTTTTCTTTAGACTAAAGAGACCCAAGTCCCTCAGCCTTTCCTCATATGAGAGATGTTCTAATCCCATAATCATCAGTTAAATAGCGTCCTGGCTGGTATCAGAAGCAGTGTAGCCAGCAGGACTAGGAAAGCGTTCATCCCCCTTTACTCGGCAGTTGTGAGGCTTGACCTCGAATACTGTGTTCAGTTTGGGGCATTATAGGAAAGACATTGAGGTGCTGGAGCGTGTCCAGGAAGAGTAACAAGGCTGGTGGAGTCTGGAGCACAAGTCTTATGAGGTATGGCTGAGAGAACTGGTGATGTTTAGACTGGATAAAAGGAGACTCAGGGGACACCTCCCTCTCTACAACTGCCCGAAAAGAGGTTGTAGTGAGGTAAATTTTAATCTCTTCTCCCAAGTAACATGCAATAGGATGAGAGGAAACAGCCTCAATTTGAACCATGAGAGGTTTCAATTGGATACTAGGAAAAATGTGTTCATCAAAAGGGCTGTCAAGCATTGGATTAGGCTTCCCAGGAATGTAGCTGAGTTTCCATGCCTGGTGGTATTTAAAAGACTTGGAGATATGGTGCTTAGGGACATGGTTTATTGGTGCACCTGGCAGTGTTAGGTTAATGGTTGAACTTGATGATCTTAAGGGTCTTTTCCAACTTAAGTAATTCGATGGTTCTCTGATTCTAGTTTAATATATGAGTACAAACAGATACGCTTTCCTTACTTGAATTTGAGAATTACCTCACTTACTGGTGTTCACAATGGATGTGTGAAATTCATTCCTTCATTTCATTCTGATACTTACTGCACATGAAACACTTTTCCTTCTTTTGTTTACCTTTTTCTCTTTCGTCTGGAACCCCATAGCACAAACCTTTGTATTGGAGGTGTCTTAAAAGAACTTCCTATCTATTAAACCTACCTGAACTAAGTATTTTATTGCAGAATATTACTGTGTAAGCTTGTTGTTAATTAATGCTTGCTCCCACTGAATGCCACATACCGCATTTTTTCAGGTATATTAAAATATTTTATGAGAATGAAACTTGTCTTCCTGATGCTTTTAGTGATTATTAAAGTAACTTTTTAATCCTGAATTAGGGAAGGTGTATCCTATCTGAGTTCTTTTAAGTGTGTTCTCTGAGAGATTTTAGAAGAGCTTATAATAGTGGCAGTTGAGATCTGTCTGCTGGTGCAGGCTTTAAATAAAGTATTTGATCTAGAATAGGCAGCATAAACATTTATTAACAAATCATGACGTGGACCGTTTGCTTACATACATTTTTCCTTATGCTTGTTTTAAGTCAAAGAAACTTGTATATGTATTAAGATTGCTGTCACTGTGTTACTCTTTTCCTTGCTTGTTTTCTGAAACAAGCCTTGAAACTGCATGTTTCTCAGACCCACAGCTGTCCCTTTTCAGCTATAATTCAGTTATAATTAACTCCTTATAAGCTTTGCCATTTTCTTTGCTGGCAATAATGATACTGCTGTAAATGCAGCTTTTTCAATGGTACCAGTAGCATCAGGAAGATCTCAGGCACTGTATTAGATACTCCTTGCAGGGTAGTACAGTCAATGATTTGTTATTATCTGTTGCTTATAGAGCTTTAGGGAATAAAGAACTCAGAATTTATTTTGGGGGTGTTTTTGTAAATTCTATTAGATGTTCTACATACCATCATTATTAGATGCATAATGAATACTTCCTGCATTTCTTTAAGAATCTTTTTGTTCAAGAGTTAACTTTATGTCTTGTATTATTTTATGGAAACTTAAAATAATTCTGAAGAATTTGAATGTGAACTCAGTAACAACAAGAAATTTCTTCAGTTTTTTACTAGTCTTACTCAAAGTTAGCCATTACAATTAGAATCTGACTTAATTCTTGCAGGTCACGCTTACAAAATAGCATCAAGCTGTGATCATGTGATCCTCTTTAAAAGACTGATAGACTGAATCACAAGCCTTGTCTGTTCCTTCTCCCACTGAGATCATTTGGCTTCATTTTCTGCTGGGAGAGCATTAGTCAAGGAGGACCTGTGGGCTGTCACCTCTGTCTCAGCACTGGTGACAGTCCAGGTTTCTTCAAAAATGGCAGTATGTGTCACATGAGTGCAAACAGCACAGGTGTTCAGTGCACAGTCTGTATTATAATGTGTAAGTTTAAAGCTTCTGAGGATGACAAATATGATGTCACTCATCGCTCTCCTTTTTAATATTTTTCAGAAATTGAAAAATTTCAGGGTTCTGAAGGCAAGAAGGAAGATGAAGAAAAGAAATATCTTGATGTCATCAGCAACAAAAACATAAAGCTGTCAGAAAGAGTTCTGATCCCTGTCAAACAATATCCAAAGGTACTGTAAATAGAGTCTAAGGCTTGTTTAGTCTTTCTTAATGAAATGATGAAAAAGTCATACACTTAACCATTTCTTATTGACTTTTTGTATGCAGGCTTCATGATATTAAAAAAAAAAAAACAAAACAACAAACAAACAAACAAAAACAAACCTTGAAATGAAGCTCCTATTTGAATTTACCTGTTATTTGCTATTATATGGTCTAACTTCTGTCTTTGGGCCTCTCAGAAAAACCATTGAAGTGAATGCGATTATTGGGTTTTTTTACTTCAAGTAGGTTTTGTAGCTGATCCTTAGGTGAAGTGCTGAGGTTTTCTCTTATAGTTGCTTTTTTTGCATGTACCGTCTTTTTAGAAAATAAAAGACTAGTTAACAAAAAAAAATATTCCAGCAGAATAAAGAAAAAAATGTTTCAATAACTCTGAAAAGTAAATGTAAATGTTCTGCAGCTTTTTTATGTAGGAGTTGGGGGATTTTCTCTGTTGTAATAAGTTTTAAAAGATAGCAGGATTACTGCAGGCTATGACTTTGACAATGTATGTCCCTGTCTATAAAATACAGATGTCTTTCTGCCACATACTTTCTTCATATTATGTTTTGTTCTCTTCACTGCTACATACTATGATATAAATCCCACTTTTTACTTGCAAAAGAGGCCCAAATTCAGCTGCTTGGGTGAAGTTTTATTTTTTATTTTACAGGAAAGAAGAGAATGTTGATTTTGTGTGTGTGTGTACAGTGTTGTATTTTACATAAACAGTTGTTCTAATAGTATTCAAACTGAAATGGTAAACATCTCCATTTATTGGTAGAGTATTTTTTTCTTGCTGATTTATTATCACATGGTATTTGGTTCACCATTAGCCTTGATTACACTCTCAGCTTTTTGCTTTATACTTTCATCAGCAAGCACAATAAATTACAATGAGTAAAAATCCTATCAAACAAAGTGAAATGTATAAAAAACAAATAAATAAAAAAAAAATTGAGATTCAATGATTCCAGCTGACATTTACCTCCTGACTAGTGAATATAAAACTGAGATAATGTAATCATCTAAATGGTAAAGAGCTTAGAAATGCGTACAGTTCAATAGGGGATTACTTACTTGCTGCATAGCCTGAGGTGCTTTGACTAGAGTTGTGGTATTTTGTGTAAGTGCTATAGGTGACCTGAAGTTCTTAATAACAATGTAGCAGTGCTGTAACTTTATAATGGCAATGTGATAATTATTCAGAATAGTATTTGATGAAGATAGTAGAATGAAAGACAAACTATTTAAAAGACAAATGCAATAATCTATCCCATGTAGTGCCTGAATATGATTAAATTAACCTTCATTTACTTTAATGAGCTTGTTATATTAATGACTAGTAAAAGATATGGAGCATTTCTACAGGTGTTGAGCAGTGAAACAAAAAAAAAATAATCAGTGAGGTGGAAATTAAATACTTATTCAGTAATGCAAAATACACTCTTGGAAAGTGTCTGTGGTTGATTTGCTAGCAATATTCCACGCTTGGCATGGAATTATTCCCAGAACTGCAGGTTTCCTGCTACCATCTAGTAACCGTCCTTCAAGGATTGCATTTGCCATTGGTATCAAATGCTGATTGCTGTGGTCTAGGGTCTTATTTTTTCTTGATGAGTTGTATACGTTAGGATAATCAAAATCAGTACACAATGGTTGCTTCAGATTGCTTTATAAATAACCAAAAAAAAGTAGAAATTAGATTAAAAAGAAAGACAGTAATTTTATATATTTAGAAGAATATGGTAATAAGAGCAGTTGATCGGACCTGGACTTATAAAAAGCTAAGGAAAATGCTGTATGATTTCACCTGAGAGGCATTTATATTTGAAAGAACATAATTTTAAATTGTTCATTTGTTGTTTGCTGGTAAGATCTTTTGGGGCAGTGTTGGGCGAGCAGGGTTCCGTAAATCCAAAGAAAATGTGTAAGAGTATAAAATTTTGGAAAAAAATTTTGGAAAATCTGTGGTTTAGACTCCCTATTTAGGAATGAGATCAATCCTTTAAAGACATTTACTCTTATTTTAACTATGTGTAGAAATATAAATTGCTCCAAGGGAACCCTGGGCCTAAAGGTTTATTATGGTCTCTAGGTTAAGTTGTGGTGAGGGCAGATCCCTTCAGCAATAGCTGTAGAGTCAGAAACAGCATTTTAACTTTGAGCAAAATTTAAGTGAATACAAAAGGCTTCTAGTGGCTAAAGAGCTCTTGAAGTTGCAGAATAAGTATTAAAAAATTGTCTCTACTCAAGTATCTATGGTCTGATTTCTGAAATTGCTGATGCAGACAACAGGAAAATAAAATCAAAGGCTGTGATTGGCAACATCTATCTTATGTTACTAGCTCTGTTTAAGACACAGTCCTCTTTCCTCTTCTGTGAAATAGAGATCTGAAAAATAGATAAGGGTGTTACTTGTTAGTTCAGCAATGATCTCTTCTGAGACTAAGTATTTTAAATCTAAGCAGACCATGTAAGAACAGCGTCTCATTTACACACACTCTTCTATGCAGCGGATACTTTTAATGCCCTCAAAATATCTTCTGAAACAGTGATGCAGTGTCTTGTGTTCACTGATCCTTTTTCCTGTCCCACAGTGCTATTTGTTTTACTTTCATAATATGTGAATTGCAGTTAAGGCAGACTAACAAAAATACTCAGAAGACTATTTGTTACTAACTTCCATTTTTCAGCTTTTGTAGCTGTTTAACTTAAAACTTGCATGAAAATACCTAGTGCTTGTTTATAAAAACTTTGCCATTTATCAGTTGAATGTTGTGTTTCAAATACATCAAATAAAGGAAAAGAGTTGGTTATTAAAAAAAAAAGAAAGAAGCAAACAGACTCTGAAATGATCTCGTTGCTGAAAAACAAAAGGCAACTTTGTAATTTTCATTCCAATACCTAGCTCTCAGAGAGTCTGAGTTACTCTGTGGGCTTTGGGTCAGAACACCCAAACAAGTGTGACTTATATCTTCAATTATTGTCATGAAATTTTTTTCTGGAAAAGCTTTGATTTCCAGTAAGTGCTTCCTCTTAATATGAATTACAAAAAAAGAGTTACTTTGGTTCAAGTTACTACCTCTTCAACTCCCAAAACCACTGTTTGTGTGTTCAAGGTGAAGGAACCCAAGTCAGTTGAAATATGTAGATTTAATGACTTGCTTCCAATTGTTCTTTCTAAATAATTAAGTTGTTATTCAGTTAAATCTGGTTTTGGGTATTTCTTTTCCTTCTGATCTAGCAACAGGTAGATTAATCTAAATCTAATGAAGTTGAAATAACATGGACAGATTTAGAGCCAAAATTCTGAGTTGTTTAACGGCATGACAGTTCACATTCAAGATAAAGAATCTCCAGTTTTATCAAATTTCAAGTACACTGAAATCACACATTCTGGGGAAAAAAACCCCAAACAACAGTTAAGTAAGGAAGAAATTTTCCAACTTACTTAGTTTCTGAAGATTAGGAGGTGCAGAGAAGTTGGAGGTGGTGACACCTGGAAATAATGAACTCTCCTTTTTTCAGTAAGGGACAGAAATCAATACAATGTCTTATGAACAAAAGACTGTGTTTAATAATCTTCTAATGATATGATTATTGAATAAAGATAGATTTTTCTATAAATAAGAGGACAGGATATTTATTATCTAAATATAATACTAAATGAAGTTATTTACCATTTGCTCTCATGCTAGAGTGAGTCATAAAGTTAGAAAGCTTTTAAACAAAATCTCAGTTTAAGTACAGAATTATATGTAAATTTTCCCTCTACTGGTTTGTTAGATAAGGAAAACTATCAAAATACAATACTGGAAGCATATCCTGCTAACTACCAGGATCTGGTAGGGGTGACAAAGATGACAAGCAGGTTGATTCTTCTGAGTGGCTTCCATGATGTAGAGTTGCAAACTTCAAGGCACTGTCTTCAGAGGATGCAGTGTAATAAAGGCTCTTTCCTGCACAAAGGTTCAGCTGATGGGCAATAATAGTCTCATTCAGAGACGATTATTCAGAGACTATATGGTCTGGCTTTAGCTGAGCTTCCTAACTCCTGCTGACTTCCTCCTGGATGTTTAACTACCATTTTGGGGGGGGAGGGGGGAACAGGATATAATCCAGCCCCCTTCCTCTGAAAGGCTGGCACCCTGCTTTAAAGTCTGTGTTTCTGGGGAAGAGACAAGCTAATGCTGATGAACACTGTAAATTAAGTTAAATTCTAGATTCTTGATATTCTTTCTTTTGCCTGTCTCATGATGGTTCCTTGGATGACGAATTACTCAAGTGAATTCACCTTTCTGATTCTTAGTCGGTTTTTAAACTGGTTAGGTTGTATATAACATGTCAGGTTGGAGACAGTGCTCTTGAAATGAAATTTATTTGTTCAACTAAAATCTTGTAAGGTAGTTTAATCTTTGTGATGTATTAAAACAGAATTCACAGGTGATTTGAACAACAAACTACTGTATTTCTTTTGTGTGTGTTACACCTCAGAGTGAATCTCTCCACTAAAAACTTTCCTAGAGGGCATTTGAAACAATTTTTGGATGAAATAACCATTTGCAAAAGAAGAACTCGTTTTGTACTTTCCCTCTTTCTAATAAATTTAGCATAAATCAATGGGATTATTTTATTGTTTTAAATAGTCCCCTATGGAATTACAAATAATTCCAATGAGTTTGTACACAGAGATTGTATTAATGAAAGTCCTGTCCAGTTACCAGCAGTTAGTAAGGCAGCTATCATCACTTGATTGGTAATTTCTCAATTCTATGAAGTATGTAATTCATTAAATAGATAAAGTTCAGTGGTGCTCAGTAAGTTGAAACGCTCTTTTTTCACATGCATATAAAATGTAACCTTCCCTTATATATATTGCCATGTAGATCAGATTAGAAGTATAAGTAAGAGGCTGTCTATATTAGCATAGCAGAAGTTTCTCGGGACGAGAAGATATATATCAACT